GGGGGGAGGAGGAGGGAGGATAGACTGCAGCGATGTTCAGTTTGTGTCGTTTTGATTTTGAATCGATGTTAACGGTGTGTGTGAGGGTTCAATCTACCTGAAGTGATATCTTCACCTAAATGTGCTTCGCGCTGTCGGCGTCGGCGGTGCAGCCACACGCCCGGTTCTCGGAATTGCCGCGCGGGCCATGAGAGCGGAGGTGGGGGGGAGGAGGGGGCGTGAGAGCACGGCGTCGTTGCAACCGAGTTTCAGAAATCTAGCGAGTAGTATGTACTCATCATCGTGACGTTCTTCTTCGCAGAATGGTGTCGACCCTGAAGAGATGGACCAAGTTATCGCGGATTTGTGGGATGTGGACATCCTTCAACCTATGCCATTACCCTTGCCCGACATAGTGCTGGCGCATCAACCGCCGGCAACCCTTGATGTGCAGCTACCAGCCCCTCCTGCTGAGGGGCTGTTCATGGTAGAGGAGTTGGCGCTCTTTGAGGAGCTGGTGGCGCCACACGTCGTCGTCGCCCCCGAGGTCCCCGTCGAAGTCCCCGAGCTGAACGTCCAGGACCAACTCGTTGTCGTCGCCGAGCCGCCCGTCTTCGTCGTCGAGGACATAATCCCCCTCGAGGACATCGTGGCCGCGCCCGTCGTCGCCGAGCCGCCCGTCGAAGCCCAACCCGTCAATGTAAGTATTTGTGTTGTTGTTTGGGTCCTCCAGGTCGACGAGATGGTGTTGTTGCTGTTGCTGATGTTGCTGTTGTTGCTGCTGCCGGGTGTGTCGATCTCCAGGTCGACGAGATGCTGTTGCTGTTGTTGTTGCCCGTCTGTTGCTCAGTGTGCCGATGCTGCGCGTGCCGCTGGTGCTCTGCTCCTCCAGGTCGACGCGCTGCTGCTGCTGACGGCCCTGCGCCACCTTAGCATTACCGCGACAACAGCGAGCGCCGAACATGAACATGACGCTGCACGTCATTGAGCTGGTGTAGGTTGGGCATCGGGTCAGCGCGGAGCTCGGCGGAGGACACGGGTGGGCGTCGCGCACCGAGACCGTGAGGTGCCCGTTGTGAGGACGCCGACGTCTGCGCTCCGGGTCGTCTTCATCTTGTACTAATTTTTAAATTTTGTCAAGGAAGTACAATTATTAATTAAATTCAAGGCTATACTTCTGAACGTACAACGCACAACGCCCTATAAGCCAGAGAGCTGGCTTGGGCGCTGTGCGTGTGCTTTAGAAAGGCATCGGTAGCTGGCGTTCCTCTTACAGCAGCGTCACCGTAGGGTAATGGATAGGGTACAAGACTACTAACTCAAAGGTCCCAGGTTCAACTCCACTCAAGATTGGAAAAAAAAGTTTTTGAATCGACATGATTTCCACGTCGAAATGTCGTGGATAAAGGAGTCAAATCCACGTGGATATCACGTGGATACTCGACGTTGAATCCACGTCACAAATCTACGTGGAATCCACGTTTCTTCCACCAAAATTCCTCTTTGGGGAACTGTCTACCCTTCTCTTTAAATGTTCATACATTTTACTATTAAGAAAGGTTATGCTCTAACATAATTCTGAAATGTGTTCCTTGTGAATTACCAACAAATATTCATGCTTTCTGTTAATCTTTCTTAGGTTATCCCCTTGGTTCGTGTCCTCATGCGGAAGCGCAGCAAGAGTGCCTATCTGGCTGCTCTTGAGAAGTTGAAGACTCTTGTGCCCAGATTCAAACCAGAGAAAATAATGACTGATTATGAAGGAGCAGAGCAAAATGCTTTAGCGGAGGCCTTCCCTAATGCTGAGGTACACGGTTGCCTGTTCCATTATTCAAAGGTCTGTTTGCTTTCTGACAATGAGTATGCACTAAGCAGCCATCCCTTGAAGTGTAGTAATTTTGTTATATCGGTGGTTCTTGTTTGGTGCAGGCTATAGGAACCAATGCCCGAAAGCTTGGCATGTACAAGGTCATGAAGAAGTCCCCTCATGTACGTTCCTTAGTACGATGGTTGTCTTGTCTGCTTCTGCTACCTATGGACTACATTAGGAAAGGTTTTCGGATAATTACCAGACGGGCTATCAAGAAGCGAGTTTCCCACCATTTAGTAGGCCTTCAAGGCTACTGGATGAGGACCTGGCATCCGAAGCTCCATCTGCTCTCTGTCAGTGGATGTGCGGATAGAACCTCAAATGCCAGTGAATCTGACAACCGAGCACTGCAAGATTCTGTACCTGTCAAACGACCCAATGTCTGGGATTTCATTGGTAAGGGACACGGATATTTTCTATCTCATCAATTCTTTTTATCAATTGTCCTGATTTGACTGAAACAACTTAACTCTCATTTTACCAAAACAGTTGGATGTACATTACGGCTTCTTTTGCTCTTTTAGATGGTGTTATTGAAATGGAGGATAGCACCTATCTCACTATCAAAGTGTTGGATAGGCCAGGGAATGTGACACGTTCACGGCCTCTGTCAGCTGTCTCTAATGACAGAACCATCAAAGCACTTACTGAGGAGCTTCAAGGAGGTTTCATCTCTGTCAGAAGATTTCTCAAAGTTGCTTCCTACACTACTCTTAAAAGTTTGAATAGGGGCTTAAATGGCAAGAAGAGAAGGCGTAATATCTAATTGCATGTGTATAAATTACAGTGCTTCATTAGATTTGGATTGCAAATACTCCTATATTATGTAAGTAATTGTAGGGGGGGGGGGGAGAGGGGGGGTGGAGCAAGGTGGGAAAAAATTAAATTATTGGATTTCTGGACCTCCTCCAAAATACCTATTCAAATTGAACTATGCTTGCGTTACATTGGGGATGTCTTAATTTCTCAAATTGTTCATCTTATAACACCTCCGTGCAAGTAAAACTTTTTCAGTACTTCAGTTTTGGGGTAAGTAAATTCAATAATTTCATTTCTTCTCACTCCACCCGAGCCCTTCCCCTTTAACTGAACTACATATCAGACATAAGAGAAGTCTCATTTTTTTAGTGATGTTGTTTCATTACTTATTGGTTATTTTGTTTGTGTTACCCTTAAAGTTTATTGTAATGAAACACAGTGCTTGTGAGGAATCTGAATGGTTCTATTGTGTTTGTGTTGTCCTTAAAGCTTATTGGATTGAAACACAGTGCTTGTGAGCTTAATTGTTCTTAATTTTGATTTGTGATACCTTTCTTTACCATTCCTTTTAAGACTAAATATTATATATTCTGAAGGGTGAGGTGATCAGAAACTGCTGTGACATGCATGGTATGTGCTATGGGCATTTGGCCTCCTTTAACATAAGTTCCATACTGCACTACAGTTATTCCAATAGTTTCCTTGTAGATAAGAAATGAACTGCAATTCTAGTAACCCTGCATGTTAATAACTTTGCGTTCATTTGATGTCGATTGTAAATGCTCCTTATAGTCCAGTGGCTTCGCACCGAAAATCATAAGAATACTGCACGAAATGACTCATCTACCAAACTTTGCACAGTTGTTCTGGGGTCTATCCTGAACGATTTTGGGGCCAGAGGCATTTGATCCGACCGTGCAGACACCTGCTACGGCCACTTTTAGTCTAATATTTTAGAAATTTGCTTAGGTTCTCAAAGTTTGACCGATTGGCAACCAATTGTCCAATTTTGATGATCTAAGAACCGTTTCCCACTAAGCGAGATGAGCAGAACACGATGGTGTTTTCGGATTTTCGATATCTCAAATGGTTTGGGA